GATTGTAATATTTCCTACACTATACATTGAATAAATCACATTGATAATATCATTTTAAAACTAAACTATTGCTAAATCACCATCATTACACCTTTGGCGAGTTGCCTTATCACCTAAAAGTATACATTTTCGTATTTATTTTATTAAAGGATACAAATCACCCGTAACATTTGGTGATAACTGTGAGATACCGACTTTATAAAACTTAACCTAAAAAGTTTAAGAAGAAAAATGAATAGTAATCAATTTCAACAATTTATGAAAGTCATGACTAAAGCAGTTAATAAAGAGGAAAATAAAATGCCTAAAGAAAATAATCTTGTTAAGATTAAATCTTTCTATAGCACTGATGACAAAGATCCTTTCGAATGGTTTGACGAATTTGAAAGAGCTTCCAAAGCTAACAATTGGACTGAAGATCGTAGGATTGAAATTGCATCAGGTTATTTGAAAGAAACGGCTGCTGAATAGTATAAAGAAAATCAAGAAGACATTAGATATTGGAAAACAAAAGACCAAAATAAAGAGAACAAAAGTTTTTACTATCTATTTATAGAAGAATTCACTTCTGAGGAACGTCAACATCATTGGCAAACCGAATTATATGAACTATGTCAAAAGGAAAATGAAAAATTAGATTCTTACGTGACTAAATTACTAAGTAGAGTTAATATTAGTAATAAATTTTTTAATACATATGTTGTAAGGATGTTTTTAAATGAATTAAAAGGCAATAATGCCACTTTCATAGCTGTAGCCGCTCCTAAAGATTTAGCTGATACAATAGCAGCAGCAAAAAGAGTTGAAAATAGAAATTATAATAATTAAAAAACATCTAAAAGAGAATTTGCACAGCAAGAAATGAGGAATAAGTTAAGCGAATTAAAGAAAACTATCGAAGGCTTAGCATTAAATTATGCAACCTTATTCGCTCAATTAAAGGATACAAGGACTTATCGTCCACGGGAAAATTTCTATAAGAGACGTTCTCAAAATAACTATAGATGGGAAAAAAAAAGAGGAGATGAATATAATATATGTGGTGAAATGGAACATATAGTGAGAAATTGTATGTCTGAGAAAAGAAACTATAATTATAAAAATCAAAACAAAGAAAAAGAAATTAATAATAAAACAAAAACTATTAGTTTTTGTGAAATAGAGAATGATAATAATAAGAAAATATATGTATTAGATAGTGAACCTACCTCAAAGAAGATAATGAAACGTCTGGCGAACCCAAAATGGAAGTCGTTTAAAGCCTGGCACTTCATGAAATCATCCGACATACGGTAAATCACGAAACATGAGTTATTTCAGCTTTTTGAAAAAAATCAACATAGAATCTACTTTAATCACTAAATGCAACATTTTTTTTTTGAAAGTTTAAATTTTATTATTATTATTATTATTATTATTATTATTTTTATTTATTATTTTTCTTTTATTGCCAGGCTTTTTTCTAATATTTATAGTTTATAAGTTTGTCGGGATCTAGATTTCAAGTATACACTTTCGCGGTTTTGATAAGTTACAGTTTTTTTTTATAAGTTACATTTAACATTTCAATAAAATCTAACTTAATTTTCTCTTTGGTCTAGAATTTGAACTTTGAGCAGAAACTAAAATTGACAGAATTCAAAGAACTGGCGATAGGGTTTTGAACTTTGGTGAGTACTAATTCACACTGGTCAAGGAAATTTGACTTGGTTTGGAATTGAGAATAGAACCAAATTTTTTTTTTTTTTGTTAAATTTTTTTAGCATGTATTATCTAGTTCTGTAGTTTAGTTGAAACATAAAATCATATTAAGATCTTTTTTCGCTTAATTACTGTGACTAATACTTTTTATCATAATGTATAATTTTGTGTTGGAGTGAATAAATTATATATCGATTTAAAACTTGTGTCAGATTAAACAATTATGATGCTGCTAATACCTACCTTTACCCTAACGAAGCTTAGTAATATTAAATTTTGATTAATATAATTTTAATTATATAATATTTTTAATATATTTTAAGAAATATATGTATATTTATTTATTTAAAATATTATTTAAAGAATTTTTTAAATCTTCAATAAATCCAGATTTTTCTTGTGGGCTTCCTTCATCCTCCATTTTCTAGTATGCACTTTGGGTTCTTTCTATTAATTCATTGACAATTGCATGTCTTTTTTCAGCGGCTTTTTCAGCCTCAGTTTTTTTAGGCAACTCTATTTCCACTAATTCACGATGCTCATATATTTAGAAACCATTTTCCACAAACATATTTTGAAATTGTACCTACACATTTAAGGTTAATAGTTGTTTATCGCTATACACATGTTCATGAAATATATGCCGGCAAGGAAGTAAGTACTGGCAAAAGAACAAGCAAGAACAACTAGATGAAGTTAAACTAGGAGATTGTTTATCTTTCTTAACCCTTTTTTCAACAGCACAAGCTTCATCAACGATTAACTGTTGGATTGGAAATGGAAACTTATAAACTTGATCAAGAATCGCATCATCAATACCAACAACAGAAATCTGCTTAATTCTGAATTCGAATGCTACATGCTCTGAGTCGGTGCGTTTTTTTATATCTAGGGTGACGATTTTATGACATGCGCCTAATACAAATAAAATAACACTTTAAAAAATTTTTTTTTTCTTTTTGTATCAATAACATTTAATAAAAAAATAAATTTTTTTTTTTTTTTTTTTTACAAAAGTATTTTAATTAAAAAAAAAAAAAATCAGGCCACGATTCTAACTAAAAACACGGTTTTTGTGTTATACCTATTAAACTATGACTCGATGACGTTGTTCTCTTTAATTCACTATGATACGATTCCAGGGCATTCGTCAAAGTCACTTGTAATAAAAGTGGTGAATGCTGCCGAGTCCATAAAGCCCATTGATTTGAATTTTTCTGATAATTTCGTTTAATATAATTTTTTATGCCGAAAACTTGACACAAACCAATCGCCTCTTCAATAAGCGCTTCATATCCGATTTTTGTAGTTTTTTGTATTGCTTGGATCATTTTTCCTTCAGCCTTTGTTTCATATATTTTATTCATTCATACTCGCATTATGTGGACCGTGCAAAAAATCATGGCACATTCTTGCTCACCACCCCAGAGACTAGGAAATGCTTTCGCAACACTATTAGCCTCAACATGGATTTGGTCAGCAAGGATATATCATAGTTTCCAACAGCTCCCAAATTTTTTTATAATTTTTAAGGCATCCGAGACCATGTCACTATCTTCTTTATCAACAAAAAAATGAGTGCCGATATCCCAACAGCTATACATATCTCGAATATACAAAGTAAATAGGCGACAATCATACTTATTGGTTTTATGCGTCAAATCGATAAAGGTTAACTACCCATATTGTTCGAGTTTGCCAAGTTGAAGGGGATGTATAAAAACCAGACTATAAGTAGCCTGACTAGGAGTTGTGTAATATTCAACATAATAACCCTGGTTTTTCAAAAAAATAATGCTTTCTTTTATATCAGATTTTTTATTTAAATTACCCCCTAAATTATTATTTTGCACTTCACAAACTTTGTATTTAATGTTTGTAGCCTCGGCACATTTTAGTTCTTTAATACTTGAGCCCAGATCCAACGCCCTAGTTGCATATTCTTTAACTGCATTCATGATAGCAGTGGGTGGGTAGTCTTTTGCCGCTTCTTCCTCAACTAATTTCTGTACCGCTTCCGAGCACTTTAGCCTTTCACTTTCATCAAGTGTATGTGCATGATCAGGACTTTCATTATATCGTTCTATTTGCACTTTTTGTGCACTAACAAAACGTAACACCTGGATTTTTGCAGAGCAAAGATTAGGTGGGCGAACCTTTGTTTTTCAACGCTTTTCAACAGGAATTCCTTCCTTTCGACTACTCGAATGATTATGCTTCATAAATCGGCATGCAAATGCCTTCCAAGAATTACCATTGGCATGGTTTTTATAACTAAATCTTGTCCACACATTCATAACAAGTGGCCACCATTCTTAATCAAATTTATCTATAAATACTTCAAATAGTTCACCGACATTGAAGAGAAGTGCTCGCCTTTGATTAGGGTTATAAATTGCGATGTATAAATTTTGACCCCTTCATGTGCTGCGGATGCTTCATCGGCTGCGGATATTAATATTTTCTCATTTTCCTCTTCACTATTTTTCAACACAATAACTTCATTTTTCTCCAACACATTTCTTTCATTTCCCTCCAAAACACCAACACTTTTATCAACTCCAATTTCTTCAAACACATTCTCTTCTCTTACAACAAAGTTACCCGCTATACAAAAAAAAAAAACAATAGATATATATATA